GTCACGGCCATGTATCTGTGTTTCATTTACATGGTCGGATTGTGTTCCATAGTATGCTCCGAGTCGATACTCAACGTGAGTTCTCATTACTCAAGTGGATTGCTGAAAATTACCAGGTAAGTGTGTATCTTAATACGAAGCAAGCCGAGTTACACTGTTTTCTATAGCAGCTGAGAAATTCGCCACTCTGAGTCCCTTAATTATTACTTAATATAGTTCAATCTTTCTATATTTGTGCCACATCGAGAGTTGTCAGCTAGTATGACAACGATATTATAACAAATACGTTTCAATATTGTTACTGTTGTCAATTCTCTGAAGGCTATATTTTGGACAGAGATAAGTTATTTCACAACAGCTTCTTCTGGTAAGAGTTATATATTTCTTAGCTATCGAATACGGAACGCTTTTACAAAGCTGTCTAACTGTGAGTCGACTGGTATGTCAAATTTAATCGAGGACTACTCTGACTTCCACCGGGTTGTGGACATCCATAATAGAGTCATGAAGTTGGTAAATTAGAATGTCACGATACTTTCGTCACAGATACTTAAACGATAATATTCCTTTTCTTTACACTCATCACTTTTCCGTGTTATGCGTTCACCCATTGCAGATGAATTTTTGCCACACAACTACTATTACCATACAATATTTGACTGCAATTATCTTGGCTGCGGTTTCACTCGCCTTCTGTTTGTATCGCGTAAGTACCGTTTTACTGTTTCAAGTTTTTATCGTGAAACTTTTATCCAAATCTTGGAATGAATATGTTTGAAAGAAAATGCCTAACATCTTTCATCAATGATACTCTTCCAGTTTAAATTCATCTCGCATTTTCTTTAGCGACAAAATACTGTCACATGCCAGCAATTAATTGTTCTAATTAAAATTCCATGAGAATCAGGCTCCTAAATACATATTACCTTTTGAATACACGAATAATTAAATTATTTGAAGAAATATATTTATGTTTCGACATATATACATCCAGCTGTGATGTATATAGTCACTTGCTGCTGTAACATTAAGCGTCCAACATTTCCAATGCTTCACAGTTGTATCGAGCAATTCAATCTATGAACGATAAGCTAGAAATCTCTTTTTCTATTGCTTTTACTCTTATCCACTTGACGATAATATTTTTTAACAACTACCACGGGCAGCTAGTGATCGACAATGGCATGGACGTGTTTCACGAATCGTAAGTCCGAGTAATCTCGAATAATAAAATATTTTTTCATATCTCGCTTTTTCGATACTAATCGACGAAGAAAATGTATCGCATTATTCGAGCGAGCGTATAATAAATTACAGCTATGATTCTACGTGGTACTGCATTCCTGTGAAAGCACAAAAATTGTTACTGTTCATCATGCTCCGGAGTTCGGTCGAATGCGAGTATAATCTCTCCGGATTATTCGTCCCGAGTTACGCAGGCTTCTCGGTGGTAAATTTCTTATCAATTATTTTAAATTAATTTCCAATTTTCGTTGAACTACCGCGAAAATTTATTTTCGACTATGCGAAGTTGTCAATTTTTAGATGATGAGTACGTCGTTCTCCTACCTTACCCTCATGTTCTCGATACAGTAAAATTCTTACGTCATCGATATTGATACGTCATTGTAATTGTGCATCGTTTGTACCGAGGCACGCAAATGTTGAATATATATTCAATTACGGGAAACTGTTGCTGGGAATTATCTTTATTAAATATCATGTAGATAATAGTCTAGAGATTTTAGAAATAGGGAGACCTTATCTGGTAACAATATGTTTCCTTTCTAGTGAAATATAGCACTGTCACGAGCCCTCTCGTTCACCAAGCTGACAAGACAGGCGCTAAACTCCTTCACCCGACCTTCTTCCGCATCTTATATTCCTTTACGCAATTTTTAATTCTTATCTTTTCTCAGTCGATTCGTCTTGTCACTTGCATGCAAATCATCTTAATTGCTTCTCTTTTATGGCTTACCCTAAACATTCTCACGTTTTGCGAAAGCACTCTTCTCGCCTCAGAATTACATCGCCTCCGCTTTTTCCCCTCGTCCTGATTACAGCTGCACGATTAATAATTGATGTTACGCATTCTTTTCCGTTTGTATCCCACATCTTAGTTCTGCAACACAAGTGAAATTGATCGCATTAAATCCGTGTTAGCATACTTATTTTAATACTTTTAATTTAGCAATACGCGTATGGTATACTTCAGTCACTTTAATTCATTTCGATTGCGTAAAAGTTTTCAATAATTCAATATCACTAATCGGATTACGACGAATTTCTTATCGCGCGACTACCCCAACAATTATGTGATTGCAACGCCCGTTCTAATAGACTCCGTAAATTATTACTTGCCATTGATAAATTAAACAATCGTGATTATAAGTCTTATTATGAATCGTTCTACACTTCCCCTTTTCGAACTGGAACTTCTATCCCACTTTCTTGAACTGAACACACACGCAAAGAAAAGTCACCAGTGGAACTCGTAACTCGTACGACGTCTGCGACAAGACTGCTATGCCGAGGTTACCGCTGGAAAAAAGCAGAGAGAATTATTCGAGTAAGAAAAATGTGGAAAAAATACAAAGCTAGAAATTTTCCAAGGTGTATAATTTTGTCCGTATCAATTACTATTATGTATCATTTTCTAAGGGGACGTTAATGTAAAAACCGATCGATTGTCACCTGGTGTCGGTATTTCACATACATTATAGGCAATTATGGCACTCGCGTGACAGTCGCCGAGGAAATTCTTCCATATGGTAAAGCAACATCGTGAATAATAAACGATGGCGAGGTGTAATCGAAGGATTTCTCGAGATCCTCGCACAGTCTCTCCTCGTCTACCGAAGAAGATGGACTTCTTCGAGAATCACTATCGCTTATATGCGTTGATGCTGCGTATGCTAGGACTATGGCCATATTCTGTGTCCATATATAGTACAATTAAGAGGATGTTACTCTCTACGGCCTTTCTCAACGGTGTGTTGATCCAGGTGAGAAAAACTCTTATTTTTTAATGTTGCTTATTAACTTCATGTGAACCGTTATATCGCCCTGGATTTTGATCTTTTGCAACGTGGTTTTACGACCTAATTCGCAAACTAGTAGGGCACGTGTAATCCTGCTTTACCGATGTATGTACGCTTGCACAATAATTTAACATTGCATTGAACAAAACAATATAAACATTTTGATTACTGATAGTTATATGCTAAGAGTTGTTTTATTGTGTCTCACATAAGGACGGACTATTATGTTTTAATACTACTTCACCTGCAATTATCAGATACAGCATATTTTCAGATAGTGCTGCTGATAAAAACGGAAATTACTTTAGAAAATTTTACTCGGACGTTGTCCATCACGTTACCGATACTGCTCTTCTTCTGTCGTTACGTTTCTAGCGTTCTTAATTTTGAAGTGGTAAGTGACGTTTTGATATAACATTGGTAATTTCATATGTGTCGCTGAAATTCCAGTGCGTTATTTTCTTTGTACACAGACAAGATACCTCATCGACCAGATAGACAGGGAATATACGATTCTCGAAAGTTCGACTGAGATGCAAATACTAACCAAGTACATCGATGAGTCGAGTCAAATAATTACCATTTTCGCCTGTAAGACAATATTTACTTATTTAAACATACTTGAAGTTCTAATCATGCTCATTCTTTAATAATCATATCAACGATTCAGAGCCTCTCAAGAACAACATTGATTCATGGGAAAGGAAGAACGTATATTTATAAATTTCTGTTGCTAGTGGATTTTCTTAATACGTGCATTCAACACAACTCATTCATTGAGCGATATTTTTTACTTTTAGGCATATGTACATCGGTATGTCTAGTTCCTACGACGTATATTTTAATGCCGGCAGTATTAGATTTTGCAGCACCACTAAATGAATCTCGAACACGTTACGTTTCCTACTTGAATACGTATTTCATCGATCATTCGGAATATAGTGATGTCATGGCCATGTATTTGTATTTCATTTACATGGTCGGAATGTATGCCATAATATGCACCGAGTCGTTACTCAACGTAAGTTCTCATTATTCAAGCGGATTGCTGAAAATTACCAGGTAAGACCGAATCTTAATACAAACCAAGCCAAGTTAATCTGTATTGCATATCACTAGAAAAATTCACCATTCTGTGTGTCCTAATTATTACGTAATATAGTTCAATTTTTCTAAATTTGTACCACACAGACAGTTGTCAGCCAGTACGACAACCTTACTATGATAAATA